GCGCCGGCGCCGGCGGGGCGCGCGGGGCATACTCACCTTCTTCCAAACTTTCCCGGGATTTATCTCGGAAACTTTCGGAGCGAGGCGGAGGCCGTCTTTCCGCCTTCCCGGAGGGGTGAGATGGGGAGGGCGAGGGGCAAACGCCACGGAGAGGGGGGAGAAAGGGGAGAAAAGAGCCAGTGGGATGGGGGGAGAAAAACAGGGTTACAAGTTTTTGCAATGGTGGCACCGCGCGCACACGCCGCCCGGCCGGCCCCGCGGCGCCCCGCCGCCGCCCCCAGCCCCGATTTCTCCCCTGGAAGCCACATTTGCCAAGCCCAGGAAATAGAGGAAAAACCCCACCAGCCCGAGGGGCTTTTCTTACCTCGGAATCGGAGGAGCTGTTTTGATTCGTTTCTGATTCATTGACTAGAGACGATTTGACATCAGCTAAATCCCTCTCTGCCGAGGAGTTTTCGGAGCTCTTCTCCTCCTGCTCGCCCTCGTCTTTGAAGGAAATCAGTTCGTCGTTGGCGCCTAGGTCATCTCCTCCACCGCCGTTCAGCTGCGGCATTTTTTTTCACCCACCAGCAGCAATTTTGGAAGAAAAATGAAGGAGGAAGAAAAGCAAAAAAAAAAAAAAATACCCCCCAAAAGTTTTGCCCCCCCAAAAAAAAAGATATTGCAAGAAAAAGACGAGTCCAAGGTGAACTTTTTTTTTCTGCTTTGGGGTCTTTTTCTCCTGGGGAGGGGAAAGAGGGAGGAGGGGAGGGGAAGGGGGGGGAGATCTTCTGCACGCGTGAGTTTGGGTTTCTTTTTTTCTCTCGTTCCCAAGGATCCGATCAATGTGCAAAAAAATAATAAATAAAAAAGGGGGGTAAAAAAAAAAACACACCAACAACAACAAGAAGTCAGATATAAAGAGCAAAGGGGGGGGAAGCCGAAGATACAGGAGGAGCTCGTGCCGCTCGGATTTGAGTGAGTTGAAGTTAGACTGAGAGCTTTTCAGTTCAAAGGCGGCGCTGATTGACAGATAGAAAAAGGGGGATCGAAATCCGGAGGAACGGAGTAGTCTGGGAGCGGAGATTATTGACAGGGCGAGAGGAACACACTCGCTTAATGAGATGCCGGGGGCGGGGCCGCCCCGGTGACGTGTGCATAAATAAACAGCCGCGGTGGGCGGGGCGGGGGCGGCTAACAATGATCCTTTCGGGCGCCGGGAACGGGAGGAGGGAGAGGAGGAGGAGGAGGAGGGGAGGGGCGG